TCTGAATAAAACACTTTTTATTCTTACTGAATAAAATCTTACTGACCCCTAAATTTTGACTGGTAGTTTATACATGCATACATACATACATGCGTACATAAATTAACTATTTAATTAATTATAGTCAATCTCTGTTTGTTTAGGGATGTACCTTGCACTCATGGGAAAATTCCAAGTGTGGATAGTCAGGAATGAAGTTCATGAAATCCTAAAAAAAAGAGAAAGAAAGAAATTCAGTGTTCACAACAACTGCATTTATTGCGACAGCAGCCATCAATTATACTTACAACTGATTTTGTAGTGCGCTGCACAGCTAAGATTTTGTTCCCCAATGAGAATTTGATACACTTCACCTCTCCTTTGTCATCCATTCTGTCAAACGAAACAGTTAGTGCTTACCAATGCAGTTATTATTAACTAAAACTAAAAAACATTTTCAGTAATTTAAATAAAGCTACCATAAAATTAAAATAATTTCAAATATTAGATGAAAACCCTAAACTTAAAAATAAACTTAAACATTTGAAATAAAAGATTTTTATTTTACTAATTTAATTGAAATAAAAGTTAATTTTATGTTTTACAATGACTAAAACTACAATTGAAATCAAAATAAATAATTAAACCTAAATATAAAGATTTAAAAAATAATAAAAAGTACATTAAAAAATGTAAAAAATGTAATATAAAAATAAAAGACCATTCAAAATATTAACAAATACTATATAATATAAAAATAACACTAATAACACTGATCTTTGCATGATGCATACTGTATAGGATATAGATGCATAAAGAATCAGTGGTTCTCAATTCCAGTCCTGAGGGCCCCCTGCTTTGCAGATTTTGCATGTCTCCCTTATTTAACACACCTGATTGAGATCATCAGCTTGTTAGGAGAGAGATCCATGAACTGAACTAACAAACTGATGATCTCAATCAGGTGTGTTAAATAAGGGAGACATGCTAAATGTGCAGAGCAGGGGGCCCCCAGGACTGGAATTGAGAACCACTGGAGGGGACTTACCTGAAAGCCACTGAGCTCTTGTCATCTGGCCCTTTAACCACAACACCTGTGGCCCCACCAGATCGTACAGCAAACACCTGAAATCACACAAAACACCAACTATTATACTCAGAAAGCATAAGTTATAATTGAGCAATCATTCAATACCATAGTGTATAGAAAAGGATCATTTGATACCACTGTATAGCCACAGCACTTTTGATATATGAACAGATCACTACATTTGATCCCAAACAACCATAAACCTGGTGACTAAAATACACGACAGAAAGTTACTGCACATAACAGGGTTACAGTCATTAATTACTTGAAGACCACTGCATAGTACATTTACGTGCCAATCTAATCATTTGTTATTAAGTTTTATGGAAGCATTTATCTACATCTACGCTACATTATGACTGTGCCCATCGAGACAGCATTCAAAATGCGCCTATGTTGGCCAAAAATGCTGTCTAGGAAGACAGCTCATTAGATTTTGAGACACAGCCATGATAGCGCTTTATAATGTCATAATTATTACACTTCAAATTATTAAACGTGTCCCCACCTGTTTATTGGCCTCGTCGAAAAACACATTGTTGACGCTAGATGCGTTCTCAAACTGCACGGGGTTTTCACTGAGCTCTAGATAATATTCGTCACTCATATCGTTTTATGTAACTTACAGTCGTTTATTCCGCAGCTTTGTGTTTTTACTTTAGCTAGTGTTTCCACTTCCGCGTCTGTCAAAAGTGGAGAAGTGAGGCAGTCATGTGATGCTCAAGCGGTCACGTGACGTCTCCTCAGAAGCGCTGCACTATAACAATAAACATGGAAATTCATATGATAACATTTCATATAGGTTGTTCTAACTCATCAGGGATAAACATGGTTAAGGGAATTCAATTTCGGGCATTTTAAGGCAAAAATAATTTGAATTTCCAACAAAACTAAGATTACGATGAACTAGGCTACTTCTTTGGGGTGACCGTCAAATATCAAAAAGGAAATCTGTTTTAATTCATTTGATTAACATTTTAATAAAATTAAACAGGGCTTTACAGTTTTCTTACTTTTAGGTATTAGTCCTTCTGAAAGGGAATTAAAATAGTTTGTTAAATATTTTTCTTCAAATGTCAATTCATAAAAATTTAAATTTTCAATAACTGTAGGCAAATATATTTAGCCTATAATATATATAGCAATATATTAGCCTAACATTACTATGCTATAGTTTTTGGACATTAAAGGTTTGTTTACCTCACCCCAAAATGAAAATTTTATCAATTTTGTTCACTCGTTTTCCAAAAAAGCAACCCAATGAAAGTGAATTGGGACTTATAATTCTGCCTAACGTCTATTTTGTGTTCCAAAAAGAAATAATTATTAATTATTAAAGAATTAGAAAGTATTCATTCATTAATTCATTCATTCAGCCAATAAATAAACAAATAAATAAATAAATAAATAAATAAAACGCGACAACAGCGCGTATAACGTGAATTGACTTTATTATATAAATATATTCATATTATTTATTTATATTTATATTTAAATAATTTTAACTTATTTCAAATATATAAAATATAATATTCAAATGAACACACAAATGAATATTATTTATATATTATGTATAAAAAAAGTGGTCACACTGTCGTTCAAAACACCAGCGCTGGGTTTTTAAACAGCAGCTTGTCCACTGATCTTTAATAATTAAATAGATCAGTGAGCTTGTCAGATTTATTGGCTCAGCTTTTAAAAAATGCAGTCCATGAAATCATAACGTGATCGTGACGTGTTCAGTTCAGCGAAGTCTGTGACGTCACACGAAAGCGCATACTGGCAAGTTTTCTCCAGAATCAGATCAGCGACGAGAATCACCTGAGCTCTACTGGAGAACAGCTCAGCAGGTGAGATTCATATTTGAAACCTAATACACAACATTGTCCAGGCCCTGATAAAGGGGTCCCACAGAAGGTCTTCTGTGTTATGTCCACCCAGAAAATTTGTCCCGTGAATTTTAGTGGCGGCCCGGAGTAAGGACAGCAGTGAACACACGCCTCCCTCAGCTTTATGATTATATTATGCTTAAATTTACACTTTAAAATACATTTTAAACACACACATACACACACATAAAATTGTATTTACTTATACAATTTATCTTATATCAAAATGTATATATTATATATACATTTTGAGGAAAATGTGTTTTTGCTAAAGAGTGATATTTACATTAATTTGCATTTATAATATGACAGAAGAAGGATAACAAGTGATTTTCTTTTAATTTGAGGTCAGAGATGTTTCTAATAGTTGTGTTACCCATTTGTTTTACCTCACTTTAGAGAAACATACAAATAGGAAGATGAAGAAACGAATGTATTTATTCTTCAAAAGAGTACGGAAGGCTATGAAGCGTCCCTTTCTCTGCAGACGGAACAAAGTGGAGTCTATTGTGCCTGTGTCTGAGCCGGTCGATCCAGAGGCATCAGCCCTCATCCTTCATCATTCCTCAGGTTTTGAGTCTGCCTCTCTCAACTCTACACCTGACAATCTGTCCAGAACATCTTCATCCCTCTCTGAGGACAATGTAGATGAGAGAGACGGTAACTGCAGCATGTGGGCCAATAGGAGACCCAGCCTGCATACTTTTAATATTACGAAACAGGATATGTGGGGCCAAGACGGCATTTCCAGCATCCCAGAGTATATGTACACTTTGCCGGGTGAAGTGCCTGTCAGTGTGCCATCAGTTATCCTGAGTGCTCAGGGTGCCACAGATGCTTCTCCTGTGGAGAACAGCACAACAGGTACGACAGAAATTAAATTTAATTCAAATTTAGTTACCTTTCATTCAATTTTAATACAATTTTAATTATTTATTTATTAATTAGAACAGCGCATCATGTGAGAATGTAACTCTAAAAGTGATATAGAAGCAGAGTTCATTCTAATTGTAATATTTTAGTCTTTTAGGGATTTTATAACATTACAAATATGAACATAACAGCATAATGGAAGTTATTTGTGTTTAGGAAAACAAGGCAAGTTTATATAGCACATTTCATGCACAATGGTAATTTAAAGTGCTTTACATAAAAAGCCTTTAAAAAATAATCACAAAGTAATCAACAGATTATTAAGACATAAAATTAACAATGCAAAGTAAAAAAAAAAAAGATTCGAATAAAATAATTTATATATAATAATGTACAGTATGTGAAAAATAATGTGGTTTTTTTACTTTAAACCGCATAAACACATTTCATTACACCAAATACACAAAATAATGTTCTTTTTAGCAGCATCATATGACCCCTTTAAGGACAGAGCTGTTTCTAATAGTTGTTTTCTTGTTCTTTTCCCTCAATTTAGAGAAACATACAAATAACGAGGAGAGAAGAGGCTTCTTCACCAGACTATGGATGGCTTACTTACTGTTGTGCTGCATACAGCTACCAGATTAAGTCAAGTCTCTCTCTTCAAACTCGTCATTTTACTGTACTGAGGAAAGTAGATGAGAGAGAAGGTTATGATATCTGGAGCACGCGAGTTGATACGACAAGCGGCCTGGATATTGTCATTATTTCAAGCCAAGCATATGACAAAACTACAGCAGCAAGCAAAATGCAAAGGAATGTTTCCCAATAAATGCTTACCAATGAAACCAATGTATCAGAGACATTTATATTAAGTAAATGGTCTCCATATGCCATGATAGTTTATGTAAGGTTAAGGTTATTTGCTTACTTGAAATGATCAAACTAAATGAAACGTGTGCTGTGCTGCAGGGGTTGTTCATCATAATTTGGTCTGGATGGCCCAGCTGCACTAGTGGTGTCAATATTGATCCCGAGGCCACACGAGAACACTATTGATCTCACAGACAGACATTTAATAGACTGACTTACAAAAACCAGACAATCACTGCTGCTGCTGTTTCTGTTCATCCAAACTATCCAGAATGAGTTCTTTATTTCGTAGTGAGGAGATGCGTCTCGTGCAGCTGTTTTTTCAAACTGAAGCGGCTCACAATTGCATCAATGAACTCGTGCATCTTGGATTAGTTCAGTTTAAAGACGTGAGTAACCTTTGTACTGCTTGTGTATGTGTGTGTGTGTGTGTGTGTGTGGAAGTCACTGCATTCAGCTGTTTAAAAGGCCTCTGTTTTGGTTTCTTTTGACATTTGTCAGAATGTCAAGTAACCTTACAACATCCATTGATTCTTAAATGTAGTCTGCTTGTAGCAGTGTGCACACTTTCAAGTGCATATAGTGCAAACTCTCTGCATCACTATTCGGTTCATACTGAGCGTTCATTGTCACAGAATTTGATTTCTCACCATTGGTTGAATCAATCAGTGCATAACACTGCAGAGCCAGAAAAAAAGCGTCTACATGATTACTGTATGTATGTGAATTAATAAGGTAGTCATTTAAGGGACGAATAGGGCTTCACATGTCTAAAATAAACCAAAACTATCCAAATTCTGCCTTGATATGTTAGAATTCCTTTATGTAGGCTATTAAACTTTTTAAAATGATCTTACAGCTGAATCCTGGTGTAACAGCATTTCAAAGGCGATTTGTGAAGGATGTGAAGAAATGGAGAGAATTCTGAGTAAGAAAGTTTGTATTTTACTGTAAGATGCACTAAGTTTTGATTCTGACCTCATGAATGAACATGCCGTTTTAATATTGCGAAGATCTATTTCTCGTCCGTTTTACTGAATCATCATACTGATTTCTTTCCCAAACGTCTGTTTCGGGAAAATATAAGTTTGGTGAACAGGTACGAAAGAATGGATTGCAAAAAAAAAAAAAAAATGACAGCGATACTGATTTCTTTCCCAAACGTCTGTTTCGGGAAAATATAAGTTTGGTGAACAGGTACGAAAGAATGGATGGCAAAAAAAAAAAAAAATGACAGCGATAGCATTATTTTTACGACAGAAAAAAATTCCACTCACTTAACTGTAGGGGGCTCCAAAGTCGCAAAAATGCACGGAACTACACACAGTTGCTTTAAAACACCTTTGATATAATTATCTTCCTTCAAAGACCGTAATGTTGGTTTCTATTTAAATTCTACATCATTTAGGGTATCTTCAGAAGGAGATGGTGAAATCTAACATTGTAATTGTTGCAACAAAGGAGAAGGAGATGGTTCCCTGTGCCAGAGATGTTCTGGAGCTTGAGGTGACAACAACACTTCTCATTTTGTTATTAAAGGCCCAGTGGTGTAGTCTAGTTTTTTGTAGTGAGCATACTGTGATTTTTCCCTCCCTCACCCGTCCCAGAGCGACACCCCGTAAGCACCATCACACTCACTAATGTGTACAGTGTGCATCTACGTGAAAGACTGCTTATGTGATATCAACATGTCAGTTTATTATATGCAACACAAGACTTTAACAGCCAATGACATTTACAGCTGTGGAGACTGGACTGATTTTCTGCTGTTTAGTGTTAATCACCTAACTCAGGCAGTTAAGAGCTACATTTATCCTGAATATTGTCCCTGGAGCACAGGTTTTATCAGCTGGCAATTTTCAATGCACATTTAAGAGTGCTTGTTTTTAAATTCCCTAGCCTGACCTTCAGTCCACAAGGCTGGCCAGGAGTTCTCATCTCTCTCATCATCTGAAACAAGGAGATATAAACATTGTATTCAGTTTAACTGCTGTACACAGACACACACATACACAGTATCTGTTATCTCTCCCCTTCTTCCACATTCATTGATCCACCACACTAACGTAACTGAAGTTATTAGCTAGTTATGTTGGCCTGAGAAAGTCAACATACTGTTATACTATTTAAACTTCTTCTTATTCTTCTGAGACCAAGAATTTTCAACTGTCCCAACTGTCCTAGGGCTTTAATGCTACCAGCACCAAACTTGGCAGAGACCTTGGACCTGATCTGTGGTTTGTTGCTATATCTTTTTTTTTTAACTGATGAGACTTACAGTTTTCGTATAAATAATTATCAAAAATCAAATAGATGAAATAGATAGGCCTAATATATTTTTAAGCTGTTCTCAGTTGTAGCATTGACCAAATAAACCCATTTTCTCTTACTCTGTATTAACACAATTTGACACGCAAACAGATATTCGGAAAGTTATTGTGCCTTAATGCTTGCCTTCAAACCTTTAGTCCACATTTGAGAAGTTGGAGCAGGAGCTGCGAGAAATCAACCGTAACCATGCCGCACTCAGACAGAACCTCATTGAGCTGATGGACATTGACTCTCTGCTGAGGATGACCGAAGGTTTCTTTAAAGAGCTCAAGATCTTGAGATTAATTTTAATTAATTTTATTTTTAATTATGTACTATTAGTATGCCGTATTATTTTGAATAATAGCATTTTATATATTTAGATTTCATTTTCATTTTAGTTTAAGTAATTTTGTTATGTGCTTTTTGTCGTTTTTATTAGTCTTTTTAATATTTCTACTGTATATAGATTTAATTTTATTGTTATTTCTGTTTTAGTTCCAGTAATTGTTCTACTTGTATTTTTGTACTGTAGTTGTTTACCAAGGCAACATTTCTAATTTTCATTTAAATGTAAGTTTTTTTTGTCTGATATTTATATCTATATTTTATTTTAATTTCTGATTTATTTCAATGACCAAAAATGATTTTCAAAAGTTTTAGTTTTAGCTTAAGTTAACAATAACAAAACTGATCATATTTTAACGTTTATTTTATTTATTTATTTTTTGATGCTTCAGATCCATTTTTTTAAACCAAACTTAAAGGCAGGGTATGTGATTTTTCAAAAACACTTTAGAAAACTGATTCGGGCCGAATTGCAAAACAAACTTGTAGCCAATCAGCAATAAGGGGCGTGTACACTCGTGATGTGGAGGAGAGAGCTTTCAGTGCACGGGACGGACATTAGCCGAGCCAAGCGACAGAAAGATAGAGATGGCGGATAAAAAACAAAAGAGGAAAACGTTTGCGGAAGGATAAGGCAAGAAGTAGGACCCGTGTAAGTATCGGATCAGCTTTCCAGCGCTGGAGAGAACTCAAGGAGCGGAGGCCTGCGATCGGACGCCGAGGTTGCTTTGTTTCTTCTCAATAGGTGAGTAACACCGTGTCTACAACAGCTAAAGTCTGCCTACACTGGACGCGATCAAACGACCGTTGAAAACCATTTGAAATTTGTGTCAGCACGTCATAAATAGAACCCCGCAGCAGTTTTCTGTCGGGGATTTGTTGCTCCACGCTGCTCACATCCGTAGACACGGTGTAACATTGGTTCCCTTTCAGTTGGTCACTCTCGACGTCACGTCGGATGACCGACGAATTGGGATCGATATAATTATCTTCCTTCAAAGACCGTAATGTTGGTTTCTATTTAAATTCTACATCATTTAGGGTATCTTCAGAAGGAGATGGTGAAATCTAACATTGTAATTGTTGCAACAAAGGAGAAGGAGATGGTTCCCTGTGCCAGAGATGTTCTGGAGCTTGAGGTGACAACAACACTTCTCATTTTGTTATTAAAGGCCCAGTGGTGTAGTCTAGTTTTTTGTAGTGAGCATACTGTGATTTTTCCCTCCCTCACCCGTCCCAGAGCGACACCCCGTAAGCACCATCACACTCACTAATGTGTACAGTGTGCATCTACGTGAAAGACTGCTTATGTGATATCAACATGTCAGTTTATTATATGCAACACAAGACTTTAACAGCCAATGACATTTACAGCTGTGGAGACTGGACTGATTTTCTGCTGTTTAGTGTTAATCACCTAACTCAGGCAGTTAAGAGCTACATTTATCCTGAATATTGTCCCTGGAGCACAGGTTTTATCAGCTGGCAATTTTCAATGCACATTTAAGAGTGCTTGTTTTTAAATTCCCTAGCCTGACCTTCAGTCCACAAGGCTGGCCAGGAGTTCTCATCTCTCTCATCATCTGAAACAAGGAGATATAAACATTGTATTCAGTTTAACTGCTGTACACAGACACACACATACACAGTATCTGTTATCTCTCCCCTTCTTCCACATTCATTGATCCACCACACTAACGTAACTGAAGTTATTAGCTAGTTATGTTGGCCTGAGAAAGTCAACATACTGTTATACTATTTAAACTTCTTCTTATTCTTCTGAGACCAAGAATTTTCAACTGTCCCAACTGTCCTAGGGCTTTAATGCTACCAGCACCAAACTTGGCAGAGACCTTGGACCTGATCTGTGGTTTGTTGCTATATCTTTTTTTTTTAACTGATGAGACTTACAGTTTTCGTATAAATAATTATCAAAAATCAAATAGATGAAATAGATAGGCCTAATATATTTTTAAGCTGTTCTCAGTTGTAGCATTGACCAAATAAACCCATTTTCTCTTACTCTGTATTAACACAATTTGACACGCAAACAGATATTCGGAAAGTTATTGTGCCTTAATGCTTGCCTTCAAACCTTTAGTCCACATTTGAGAAGTTGGAGCAGGAGCTGCGAGAAATCAACCGTAACCATGCCGCACTCAGACAGAACCTCATTGAGCTGATGGACATTGACTCTCTGCTGAGGATGACCGAAGGTTTCTTTAAAGAGCTCAAGATCTTGAGATTAATTTTAATTAATTTTATTTTTAATTATGTACTATTAGTATGCCGTATTATTTTGAATAATAGCATTTTATATATTTAGATTTCATTTTCATTTTAGTTTAAGTAATTTTGTTATGTGCTTTTTGTCGTTTTTATTAGTCTTTTTAATATTTCTACTGTATATAGATTTAATTTTATTGTTATTTCTGTTTTAGTTCCAGTAATTGTTCTACTTGTATTTTTGTACTGTAGTTGTTTACCAAGGCAACATTTCTAATTTTCATTTAAATGTAAGTTTTTTTTGTCTGATATTTATATCTATATTTTATTTTAATTTCTGATTTATTTCAATGACCAAAAATGATTTTCAAAAGTTTTAGTTTTAGCTTAAGTTAACAATAACAAAACTGATCATATTTTAACGTTTATTTTATTTATTTATTTTTTGATGCTTCAGATCCATTTTTTTAAACCAAACTTAAAGGCAGGGTATGTGATTTTTCAAAAACACTTTAGAAAACTGATTCGGGCCGAATTGCAAAACAAACTTGTAGCCAATCAGCAATAAGGGGCGTCTACACTCGTGATGTGGAGGAGAGAGCTTTCAGTGCACGGGACGGACATTAGCCGAGCCAAGCGACAGAAAGATAGAGATGGCGGATAAAAAAACAAAAGAGGAAAACGTCTGCGGAAAGATAAGGCAAGAAGTAGGACCCGTGTAAATATCGGATCAGCTTTCCAGCGCTGGAGAGAACTCAAGGAGCGGAGGCCTGCGATCGGACGCCGAGGTTGCTTTGTTTCTTCTCAATAGGTGAGTAACACCGTGTCTACAACAGCTAAAGTCTGACTACACTGGACGCGATCAAACGACCGTTGAAAACCATTTGAAATTTGTGTCAGCACGTCATAAATAGAACCCGGCAGCAGTTTTCTGTCGGGGATTTGTTGCGCCGCGCCGCTCACGTCCGTAGACACGGTGTAACATTGGTTTTGCTTTGTTTCACAGAACTAATCGTTGCCTGGGTTGCGTACGTATATGTGGGGCGGAGCTATCAGAATAGAGGCAAGACCCTTTTGGGGTAGGGGCGTGTTTGTTTTGGTGATTTCAAACATCAACATTGGCTACCAGAAATCACTTACTCTGCCTTTAAGGCCTTGATTTGTACTTAATATTCAAACATTTGCATGTTTAGTAAACATAGTTTACTCCTCTATCTGTTCTTCAAGTAAACTGAACAATTTTTATTTTAATCATTATTCTCAAAAGCTTTAAGTGAAGTTCCCTCAAAAATAAACATTTTGCCACGATTTGCTTGCCGTAATGTTGTTCCAAACCTGTATGATGTTTCATTTTTTTGGCGAAACAGAAAGGAATTGTCCATACTCATTTCCATGCAATGAAAGTGGATGGTTTCCATGTACAGTCTAAACTACTTAAGTTGACTTTTTGCTAACCTGCTCTGAGCCTCCCTCTGAAGACTCAGTGTCTGTGACCGTCTCATCACACATAACCAGACGCAGAAACAGATCTGGAGCTCTAGGGTACATCTAAGGTACATTTTGTCCCACTGATACACAAAGGTTCCGATTAAAACTAAAAAGGATTTTACAATCTGATCTAATTGTACAGTACAACTTATGACATACTGTATTTGTACACATTTGAAGCTTTATTGCAGGTGTGATCAAACAAGAAAGGTTTCCTGCTTTTGAAAAGGTTCTTTGGCGCCTTTTTCATGGAAGTTTTGTTCTGCGGCATGCGGAGATACAGGCCACTGAGGAACTCCAAGCGGTGGTGAGAGCATCATATACCTAATGTGTGTTTTTAAGTTTTTTTTTGACGTTCTTTCACACACAAAACATGAATTGTCAACGTAGAACACTTTTGCAACATATATGCACAGCAATGTTCCCATTCTGCATACTATAACATCATGATTACTTATACCACAATCCAGAATCCATAGATCTCTTCATATGTGCTCTTGAATATTTAAAGCAATCGATAGGCACTAGCTTGCTATCAGATTGTCAATACACACCACACATGACATCACTTTACAATGATTTAAGAGTTTGAATAGAAGTTTGGTTGTCTTATTGTGTTTTATTCACTAGGTGGCAAGATTGAGATGTTCTGATGCTGTGCATTAACAATCAGATTTGTTCCTAAATTGCACAGCATGTGCAAGGGAATGAAAAAGTACCTTTAATAGCAAGTGAAGTAATAAATACAAATAAGTAAATGTAAATATAATTATAATAATTTTTATATATTTTAATTAGTGCTGTCAAATGATTAATCGCGATTAATCGCATCCAAAATAAAAGTTTTTGTTTACATAATATATGTGTGTGTACTGTGTATATTTATTATGTATATATAAATACACACACATGCATGTATATGTTTAAGAAAAATATGTTGTTTTTATATATTAAATATATTTATATAAAATATAATATAATTAAAAAATATAATATAATTAATATATAAATGTATATACATGTAAATATTTTCAATTGTATTTATATATACATATTAAATATACACAGTACACAAACATATATTATGTAAACAAAAACTTTTATTTTGGATGCGATTAATCGCGATTAATCGTTTGACAGCAAATATATTTTAAAATGTATTCCTGTGATCAAAGCTGAATTTTCAGCATCATTACTCCAGTCTTCAATGTTACATGATTTTAATAATTCTATTACGCTGATTTGCTGCTTATCTTAATTATTCCAAAATTCATAAATGTGTGGATTTGAACAACAAAGATCTGGAAGAACGAAGCATTGATTTAGCAGAACAATGTAAACCTATTAAAACTTGAATTGATTTTAATGTACGTTTTTGTTTTAGGTTTGGAATATTGCATCAAATAAGCTGTCCTTTCTAAACTCTTTCGAGATGAGGATGTCAGTCATATGCTCTTTGGACTCACCCTGAGTTTGGTCAATTTTGTTTGGGTATCTCATATAAATTAAGGCAAAATTAAATTTTCAAACCAATTGAAATCAATAAGATTGTCAAATGCTAATGCAAAATATTAATTCTCTTTAAGGACATCTAAATATTACACTGAAATGTTATGATGTAATAATGTAGCTTTTGTCTATTTTGTCTAAAAATAGAAAAATAGAAAGATATGTTACATGTATATAAATCTACACAAAAAAATTATATGATCAATAAGTCATGGCAACATGTTTTCCTTTAACTCATCAAAATAATTGAACCAATTTGAATAGCAATTTATACGAGATTTGACAAGATTTTAAAAAAGGAGTTGAAATGAGCAATTTTGATTACAAATTTAAAGCAGCAACTGAAGTTTTTCAGTTTAATTACTGTAGATAGTGGTATTATTATGATTAAAAGGTAGCTGATTGTTTAAAAGTACCACCTCTTCACAAAGTCCAGCTAAATAATGATTCATATCAGTTCTTAACCCTTATGGTCATCACTGTTCAGAAATCTGTGACTTTTTGTTTTTCTCTTTTCTTTTTAACAGACATTTCGGAAAATTCCAGGACAGTTTGTTCCACAGCTGATCTTCCTGCTGTCTCTCTTCGGATACCTGATCTTCCTCATCCTCTATAAATGGTGCATCACTCTACGCTCTGAAACGGCTCTCTTCATCAACATGATGCTGTTTGATTACCAGTCTGAGTATTAGCTTCTTTACGCAGGACAGGTTTGGATTCATGCTCCTCGAAAAGCAGTTGGCATTTCATAGCTGAAGTACTCAGCTTTACCGATTATGACTGACGCTGTAATGCTCTACAGAAAGCGGTTCAGATCTTCTTGGTTGTGACGGCTATGCTCATGGTTCCTGTGCTGCTTCTTCTCAAACCCTTCCTCATCTACAGGACCCGCATGAAAACCAGACACCAGGTGGGTGAGCAGAACAGAGCAACCCTGTCCCAAGAACAGTTAACGCTTGTTTCAACCAACTAAAACCATGCAAAACTTTTGTCATTTGAAATAAAAAAAAATCTCTAAAATAAAAAATATTTAAAAACTAAAATTAGTTTATGTCCGCTAATTGCCAAGGCAGTATTTCTCATTTTCATTTAGTTTATATTGATGTACTAAAATAACTAAAACTAAAACTGAAATAAAAATTAAAAACTGTACATTAACTATGACAAACATACACAACAAAATAACCACAACTAACTCAATTCTAATGAAAACAAAAAGATAAAAATAAAAATTCATTCAAAATATATTCACAAAACTCTAATAGTTTATTGATACTAAAATGGTACTGATTTCAACACTGATTTTGAAAAACACCCCCAGTAAAATTGTATAAACACGTGGCCCTCCTATACAGTAAAATGAATAAAATATGTTACATTAGTTATATTATTAAAATAATAATTAAAAATAATTAAATGAAAAAGAATATAAAATAAATGTAATTATGTATGTTTATACCATTTATAAATATTTCAATATATTCAATTTGTGTAAAGTACATAAATAGTAATTCAATTCAGTAGTCTATAAGGTTTTCGTTGAACTTCAATATTATATTTAAAATGTATATACAAGACTAGGATTTATATTTATTGGTGATTTATTTATTAGTTTTTTTTAATTATACATTTCAGTACTGCAAAATTTAGCTTAAATCTTTTTTTTTTTTTTTTTACAGTTTTTATTTATTTATTTATTTGACATTTTCAAATTGCCAATACCATATTTAGAATGTGAATTGTGTATAAAAATATGTTGAATATATTTATATATATATATTTGAATGATCAGCATGAAACAGATACGCGCTCCTCCTTCTCACATCATCAGAAAGATGAGATGGTAAGCTTTTGGTATCAGAGAAGTCTTTAATTAGTTCAGCATGGCTGCATTAAGTTGATCAAAAGTGACATTTATAATATTACAAAATATGTATGTTTTAAATAAATGCTGTTTTTTTTGCTTTCTGTTCATCTAAGAATCCTGAAAAAAATGTATCACAGTTTCCACAAAAATATGGACTGTTTTCAACATTGATAATAATAAGAACACTTATTAATAATTGAGCGGCAGATCAGCATATTAAAATGATTTCTAAATTAACATATATATTACATATTATAGTATATTTTATGTGCCAGTAAACATGCAAATAAAATATTCACACAATTAATTCACAGAAGTTCAAAATATCAGTAGTACTCCCCCTCATGTCTTTTCTTTGCACTATGGAACACAAAAGTACATATTTAGTTTTTTTTGGTTAAGATTTTCAGTGAACAATGGTTTAAGTTTCAGCATGCTCTTCACACAGTGCTATTGCTAATATTGTATAGAAAAAAATTCTATTGCAATCCACAGAGGAAAGAAAACCATACAGGTTTAGAATGACATGAGTGAATGGATAATGACAGACTGTTCATTTTTGGGTGATCTGTTCCTTTAAGAAACACAATGACACAGTAAAATGGTAAATGAAAGTGTGGTTGTGTCTCTGGTCTGCAGAGCTGTCGGAGGTGCTTTGGCGGATGGTTCTCCAGGTGAGTCTGAAGATCTCCTCTGGTACTGCTGTTTGCTGCTTTCGCTGTTCTCACCGTGACTATTCTTCTGGTTATGGAGGGCCTGTCTGCATTTCTGCATGCTTTACGACTACACTGGTAAGAACAACGCATAATTCATAAGCAACGAGTAGGAGACTTCACTTTAATTCTTTTAACAAAGAAGTCATCAGAGTTATCATGCATATAAAAACCTTGCACCTTGCACTTGTAAGCTGCGTGTTAGTCAAGGTGTTTGACCTTTGACATGGAACATGTTTGTCTATCTATTTTTAATCTATTAAAGTTTACATATATCTGGCCCAAAGGTCTAATGTCTCTGTACTTGAAATGTGTCCAAATTTAGCATTAATAGTGTGAAAGTTTATCGTGAGGTTCAGTATGTACTGTTACTCCTAAAAACAACAAACGTTTGTTCTGTTTAAAAGCATGTTTAAATATTATACAATTAGTGATATGAATGTAGTTAAAGTGATGTTTTTATGTGCTTTGTGTTTGCTTTCAGGGTTGAATTTCAGAACAAGTTTTATGAGGGATCCGGCTACAAGTTCACACCCTTGTCCGTTGACAACCTGTTAAAAAGACAGCAGTAATGGTTTTTATACGTGCTATTCTTGTAGTTTTTACTGTAAATATGTGAATCTAACAAATGCATATTTGATCTCACGATTATTGTTTACAATGAACTGCTGAAAATTTGCAAGATGTAGATGAGTTTGTTTCTTCATCAGAACAGATCTGGAGAAATGTAGCATTACATCACTTGCTCACCAATGGATCATCTGGAGTGAATGGGTGCCGTCGGAATGAGAGTCCAAACAGCTGATAAAAACATCACAATAACCCACACCACTCCAGTGCAGCAGTTTATTTCTTGTGAAATGAAAAGCTGGCATTGCTTCTGGCTAAAATATGAGTCCTCTATGTTTGTGTTTTGAAGTTAGAGGACAAAGGGATGGATTATGGACTCATATTTTGGCCAGAAGCGACAAGATAAAGTAAAAACACCTTAATGATGGATTTGTTTCTTACAAACAGGCAACTTTGCAGTTCACAAGACATTTATCGTGTAGATGAATTTGTGTGGATTATTGTGTTTTTATCAGCTGTTTGGACTCTCATTCTGACGGCACCCATTCACTGCAGAGGATCCATTGGTGAGCAAGTGATGTAATGCTACATTTCTCCAAATCTGTTCTGATGAAGAAACAAACTCTCTACATAAGCAACTTTACAAAATAGTTACATTTAGGTAGGCCTACTCGTTGCTATTATTACTGGCTAGTTGTGTAACACTGTAACTTTAACACTAATGTAAATAATGTCATCAAAAATATTTTTTATTTTTATTGATTATTAATTATTTTACGGAACACAGATAATATATAAATACAAATTATAAAGGTAAAAAAAGCAATGAAAAGACAAAAGTAACCATTGCAAAATGTAGCTTTTATTAACGTTGTAAACCTAAAGTATAAAATAGTTTTAGACCATCCTAGTTACCTGCAAAATAAACTGTACAAATGTGGAGCAGACTGAATGAATTTACTGTACAACATGCATCTAATACGAGCTGTGCCATACATTCACACTCCATTTTTGTTAGTAGACTTCCTTAATGAATTGTTGTGTATATTTTCTGTATACTTGCACTAATGTCACAGAACTAACATTTGCTAACACATCAAACAGCATTCAGTGGGTTAACAGTGAAATACCTATTTTGGGGTTGTAGGAACATACACACTGAAAATTCATGGCATTTTAAATAAACGTGAAAAAGACGCTACCGTGTTCATGATGCACCATTGACTAGCTCCTGAGTTCTGAATGTAAAAAACAGGGTTTGTGTCTCATTTTAATTCAGACCAGACAACTGTTGGAAACAGGAATGCATTTGACAGTTTCAACAAACCTTTGCGTCAGATCAAGACAGAACAGCACCGTGCATTCGAGGTATGTTTAGAATTTAGAACTTGACTTTTTTTCTTTAATACATAGACCTTTTTTTCCAGATATGATTGAGATCTTTATGTTTTTGTATTTTAAATGTTATTGCATTCAAACGCTTAAAAGGTACAACACTAATGCATACAGAAACAGTCGAACGCCAATGTGATGATGCTATTCATTTTTTGGGGATTTCACGATTCAGAACTTTTTTGTTAAGTTAAGGACAGATGCATGTTAGTGTAAACCTGGATCCATTTATTGCCAGTAGACTAATAAATCCTCTAATTAAAAGATATACTAATAAACTTACATCCAACATGAATACACAAGTAGGAGTAAAACATCTGCTAGATTCAGTAACATGCCAGTAAAACAACACTGACTTTGTGAAATGCCAACTCTATTCAATCAATCATTCAGATGCATTTATCCAAAATATATCCATGTAAAATCTATGTCATTCATTAACACCTGCTTTAATGTGTGTAAGCTGTTTCTACACTGTTGAGTTCATTTTTAAAATAAAAATATCATGTTCATGCACAAATCCTCAATACACAATGTAAAAGATTCAAATACTTCTACATCTGTCATGCAAATTGTTGATTATCAATATTTGAGCATCATTATTACTAAATTATGACGCCTTTTGTTGTATGCTGTATTACAAGTCGTCAGTATTTTTAAATGATATTTAATTCATTTTATTTGACAAAAAAATGCAAAATGCCCAGAAAAAATATAAATTTGAAGTGTGCATATTCATGGCACGTTTCAAGTTCCAGACAAAACGCAGGTTAAGTATGAACACTTTGTTCATTACGCTGTTTAACCACATTCAAAAACGTATTTCAACTTGATTGTCGAACCCAAGTGAGATTGTAGTGCTACTTATGGAAAAAGGAAGCTCTGAATAATCTGCCCTCTGAGAAACAGCTGAATGGTACCATGGCCGTGTTTGAAGAATACACAGAAACATCTAGGATCGTGTGGCGTTGTTGCCGTTATCGTCGTCGTCGTCAGACTGTTGGTCTGGAGGAATGGCGCGGGTATGGCTGGCTCGTACACTGGTCAGATGAGGGCAGGCGGAGATCAGGTTAGCAATGCCACCAAGAGTTACGCCTGTGCCATCCAGGTTCACTTGACTCAACTGCATACGACACAGGAACTTCAGACCTGAGGAGTAGAATTCAGTATGTTAGAGACGTTTCTTGACTAGAAAATGATTGTGGAGGGAATAAGACTGCACAACATACCCTGATCTGTGATTCTGGTTCTGCTGAGGTTGAGTTTCAGCAGCTGTAGCCCGCTGTCACTCACCTGAGTGTTGCTAAGAGACAGCTTCTTCAACCTATCAGGTGCAAAGGGGCGGGTCATCATTACCATCTTTGGTAAAAGCAAAATAAGACTTCTGAATACTGTTCTAATGAAACAGAAATGAATCGCAAACGAAAGGTCTACTCATACCAACAGCAGAAACGAAAAACTGCAGGACAATGCCAATTTTAATTGCTTTAAAGCAGTAACACAGCAACAGCATGATATATTGCAATATGTGACCCTGGACCACAAAACCAGTCATAAGGGTCATTTTTTTTAAATTCAGATTTATACATCATCTGAAAGCTGAATAAATAAGCTTACCATTGATGTATGGTTTGTTATGATAGGACAATATTACATGGCCGAGATACAAAAAAAATTGAAAATCTGGAATCTGAGGGTGCAAAAAAAATCAAAATATTGAGAAAATCGCCTTTAAAGTTGTTCAAATGAAGCTCTTAGCAATGCATATGACTAATCAAACATTAAGTTTTGATATATTTACAATAGGAAATTTACAAAATATCTTCATGGAACATGATCTTTACTTAATATCCTAATGATTTTTGGCATAAAAGAAAAATCTATAATTTTGACCCATACAATGTATTTTTGGCTATTGCTACAAATAAACCCCAGCGACTTAAGACTGGTTTTGTGCTCCAGGGTCACATATAATCACTTTTTTGCTCAGAATGCTGGAAAATGTACTAAAGAAACTTACCGGTCTATAGGTTTTCTCTCCAAACAAATAAAACAAAGTTAATCAAAAACAAAAACCACTATATTTGTTGACGAAAAAAAGAACCGTGTGAATGTCTTGTCTGACGCACACATTCGCTCTTGGTGTGAATAGATCGTTACACATAAATCAGGGTTCCCACAATTTCTGACCAAAGAATTTCCATTATTTCCATGCCTTTTCCAGCTGTTACTAATGACCGGACAAGAAATGTTAAAACTCATTTTATAAAGAGTAAATTCCAGCTAAAGAAAGAGCTGAGCGTAACTACATTTGATTATTTTCCATGAATTTTGAAATTCTCTAATAGTTCCCGGTTTTTCTTGACTGTGGGAAACCTGAAAAATGGACAACAACAATTTGGGATCTAGCCAGTGATTTCGTAAATAACTCTAAGTAAGCCTATTCCAGCATTACAAGATTTGCACGGTTGCATTACACCACATTAAACCAGAACAGCAGCTCCTTTTCTCATGTGATTTACTGCATGGACACTTTGGACCTAAGCTCTACCTGGTCATGCTGGCAAGCTGTGTAATGCCGTGGTCAGTGAGCTGAGTGTAGTCCGTCAGGTCGAGTTCTAAGAGCAAAGTCTGTCTGGAGAGAAACGTAAGCCCACTGTCCGTCACAGAGTGTCTGCCGGGCAGGGTGAGCTGGGTAAGCCTTAGGCCTGCGTGGAGAAAATGCTCTTACTTCACTAAAACCCCAAACAGGATTGAATAACTTGCAAAACACATTCATGCATGCATAAAATACTTCATAAATGATGCATAAAAAGCCATAAATACAAATAGTTCTATTTGGCTGCACCTGAAATGATCTCCAGCGTGTGGTTTCCGTCGGCGACCGGTATGCCGGCCAGGCTGAGAGCTGATAGGCTGGGGTGGGTTGCTAGGCACTGGAGAGTATTTTCTCGTACACCTGTGCCGTCCAGGTGAAGCGTCTGCAGGTTTCGGAGCTCTGCGAGTGCAGACACGTCACTCACCTCAAGGCAAAAGGAGACAAATGTTAAATAAATACAGGGTAAACGTATAGGGAATTCCATTATGCCGTTCTCTCATGGTCCAAAATAAATAGACCTTACAAACAAGCCCTGTAACGGCTTCATGACGTTGAGATTGCGCAAGCTAATTTGAGTTTGTTTGAAGGGACAAATGCAGTCTACTGTTCATAAGGATACATTAAATTGATCAAAAGTGACAGTAAAGACATTTATAATTTTGCTAAATATTTTATTTCTATTTCAAATTACTGCTGTTCTTTCTATTATCAAAAACAATTCAAAAAATTATATCTCTGTTTCCACACAAAAAAAAATAAAATAAAAAATAAATCAGCATATTAGACTGATTTCTGAAGGATCATTTGACACTGAAGACTGGAGTTATGATGCTGAAAATTCAGCTTTGTATCACAGGAGTAAATTACATTTTAAAATATATTCAAATAGAAAACTGTTATTATAAATTGCAATAATATTTCACAATATTGCTTTTTTTACTGTATTTTTGATCAAATAAATAAAGAGGCTCTCAAAAACACTAAAAATCTTGCCTCAAACTTTGATGAAAATAATTTTTTTGTTAGTCTATTATTGTGATATAATCTATTTTAGATAACCTCATCCATAAATGAATTGAAAAATCTAAAACAAACTATGGGATTGAACCCACAACCTTAAAAAAATAGAATTAAATAAAAAAAATTTTTTTTTTTTTTGAAAATAAAGAGTTTGCATTCTAAAAATAAACAAAATATTATAAATATAAATAAAACATTATAAAATGATTTTAAAAAAACCTATGTATCCAAGTGAAAAAAAATATACTAAAATGTATTTGAATTACATTTATTTTGTGCTAAGTATACTACAAACGCATTTAGATATTTATGTGCTTAATAAAAATACCCTGCAATTTTACTCTTAGTATAATAAACTGGTATACTTAAAGTCCAATAACTAATAAACAACTAATTTTGTGCTTAATGCACTTTAGTTGTGCAGAAGTAGTGCTGAGGTCCAATTAAAGATATACTTGAGAATATCTGATTGTGCTAAAGTGGAACTATTGTAAGTATACTTCAGGTACACTTTAAATATCTTGCATTTAAAGACTGATATTATACAGAGATCATGCAGTCCCTATTAATAGTGATATTAGAACACATTTTAGGCATAATATTAAGAAATGTGCATTGTGCAATATAGAAATACTCCAAATAAAGTTTAATTATACTTTTATATCATGAAGTCTTAAGTGATATGTCAATAAATATGTTAATGGATTTTAAGTATACTTTAATAAATGTTTTTTTTTTTTTTCAAGGGTATGTATATACCTTGGTGTGTTTAATACTGAGCATTCGTAGCTGTGGTACACATGTGGGCAGCACTCTCAGTGTGCTCTCTGTGATGGCCGTCTGATTGAGGCTGAGCTGACACAGCGCAGAAGAACCTGACTGCAGATACATCAGCAGACCTGCATCGCTTACTTTGGTCTGGTCCAGAGCCAGGAACGTCAGACTGCGCAGTCCTGAGATCAGACACAAACAGATGATGCATTTGTACATGATGATAATTGTTTATGGATGCTCCAGTGAGTGGTTTCTGACACGCCGTCTCACCTGCGATATGCTGCAAACAGCTGTCTGTTAGTTTGCTACAAGACGACAGGTTGAGATGCTGCAGTTTTGAGAGGTTGGACAAAACTGAAAGACCAGCGTCTGCAAAAATGAAACAGGAAATGATGAACAGCTTTATAAATCATCTTACATGCAAATCAAGCCAGTAATCGATAGAAATACGCCCTATAGAAGTGTAATTTTTCTCACCGATATCTAGTCATATTTCACCCAAAAATCAAAAGAATAAATACATATTTGATCAAATATGTCTATTTTCAGAAATCTATTTATATGACAATTAAGCACATTTATTCCATTACCATAATGCAAAAAAAATCCATAAAATATATGTATATTTTTTACATCAAATGTTAATGTAATAACAAATCTTTACGTATTAAGATTAAATATTATTTGTAAAATATTTATATTACACATTATAAAAATATTTAACAATAATGATATTTTATATTTTATTATTATTATTAATAAAAAATAATAAAAAAATCAATACTAAAATTAATAATTATTTTATTACTTATTATATAGCTCTGACTTTATTATATATATATATATAATTATATTTTTTTTTACAAGTTTAATGTGTATTAAGATTTAATATTATTTGTAATATATTTATATTACATATTATGAAAATATTTAACAATAATAATATATTAACAACTGATATAGTATTATTATTGTTATTATTAAAAATTAATAAAAAATAAATACTAATTATTTCATTATTTATTATATAGCAATGACTTTCTTTTTTATTTGAACATATTTTTCTATATTTAATTTATTTACATTTTTATATGTTTATTATGTTTTTATTTATTTTTACCATTACAGTAATAAAACAAAACGTTTTTTTGCATTTCAGTAATGAGAATTTTGGGCTAAAATGTAAAAGTCTTAATAGTCCTAAAAAATGATTTACTGATCTATTTATTTATATACTGTAATAACATCTTAATATTGCACACCTGTGATGAGTGGAGAGCTGACGAAGCTGAGATGTTTGAGACAGGAAAACGCCCTCAGTTGCCGCAGCAGCTCGTTGGTGGTGTATGGGTAGCAGTTTAGGACAAACTTCTGCAGCGGGCAGCCAAAGAACAGCTCCAGGGTACGCGGTCGGAGGAGACGTTCACGTGCTATATGAGCCAACAAGAGTTCGGCCAGCTCTGGGGTCAAACACGCCAGGCTGCTGCTGTACTGCATGCTGGGAGCTGAGAGAGCAAGACTACGTTTAATGGCTTTTCTTAAGCACTCATGTGACTGGTAAATAACACTTGGTGGTCTGTTTCTGACCTGTCATGAGGGAAACGGTGGCCCTGGTGGCCATCGAGCAGAGAGAGGGCACGCGGTGGGTCTTGAAGGCTTTTTTGGGGGGCGAGGGATGCCCGTGTGGCGACTGCTGCTCGTCGTGATGGGCGGCTCGCTGTAAACGCTCGACCGCTGCTTGACCCGCAGCTCCACGCAATGCACGGCCTTCCTCAGGGTCTGCTGGCTCATCAGGCTCCGCCTCCCTTCAACACACAACCAATTATAGTCACTTAAAGGGACAGTCCAATCAAAAATGGAAATTCTGTCATCATTTACTATCATCAAACGGTTTTGGGCCCCACTGAAAAATATCTTCCACAGAAGAAAGTAAGTCATACAGATTTGTAACAACATGAGGGTGAGTAAATGTAGACTGAATTTTTTTTTACTTTTGGGTAAACTATCCCTTTAAGGACAATGTACACTGCTTAAGTTTTCCAAATGCTAAGGCAAACATATCTAACATTTTGTTTAGGAAACAAATCGATCAAAATTCAGAAAGCTGAAAGCAGTGATGTCACTGTAATGATGTCATGCTGAATTGCAAAAGGTTTTTCTTTCTTACATTGATTGACATACTGAACTGTGATCTTTTTATAAAGCTCTTACTAATCACCCCATTCATTTCTCACCCTTCAGGCCCTTTAGAAATCTTCCTACCTGAGTCTGTTGCCCTGCTCCGGCCAGTGATGTCTCGGCTCCAGTCCCGCTCTTGCCCTGTTCTCCAGGAAGAAGGGCAACCGTGGCAGTCCTGTCAGAGTGAGAGAGAACATAGATAAATTGTATAGAGGATTCTGATCTTTATACATATATTAGATTTTTTTAAATACATTTACACCTTGAAATAAATTTCCATGACTTTTCCAGTCGTTCAAGATTACTGGATAAAGTTTTTGAAAATCATTTTTATAGAGACTGGACCCAAACAGAGAAGTTTCTAGCAGATTTTATTTTAGATATTAATGTATTAGATTAGATATAAAGTACATATATAGTTATGCTGTATTTTGTATGCTCCATTTAATTAAAAAAATTAATACTTTTACTCAGTCAGACTCCGGACACATTAAATTGATCCATTCCAAAGTAACAGTAAAGGCTTATAAAACTGTTACTATATATATATATATATATATATATATATATATA